TGTGTGTGTGTGTGTGTGTGTGTGTGTGTGTGTGTGTGTGTGTGTGTTCACTCAGAGTTCACCAAATGTGGAACTCACTTATCTGGGTAGCCTGGCTGACTAGTGAGCCCAGTACCTGTTCCCATCTCTCCAGCACAAAGGTTACAAGCATGTGCCACCAGGCCTGGCTTGTGTTCATATGGGTTCTGAAAGATCAAACTCAGCTCCTCATACTTCCAAAGCACACACTCTGGACTGTGCTATCAACCCAGCGGTCCACAGCTCTTCAATGAGTCTGTGTGGAGCAGACACTGAGCACTGAACCAGACAGAAAAAGATGGCAATACCCTTACTTCATGCAAGCTAGAGTGTAGAGAGCACTCTGACACAGTAGCATGAGATGATCACCATGGTAAACAGATCGATTCTATGCTAGACACATAGGCCATGTCTCCTGGGGTTAGAAGTCAAAGACTTCTCAAGAGAAAAACCACTAAGCATGCCAAGGTACAAATGTTTCTATGGGTACAACAGTTTCAGAGGCAAGAAGGGATCACAGTCTGTAGTCTCCTCATCCCCTCTGACGTGTCAGTGTTATTTCAATTGAGAAGGAGTGAAAGACAGAAAGAGGGAAGTCTGAGAAAGGAACTCGAGGTGTGATTGGAGCAAAATAGTTTTCTAGCACAAATAGGTTTCTTCCAAACAAGGCTGCTACTTAAATTAAAAAAAAAAAAAAAACATTTCTCACCAATTACCCAGCATTAGAATGCAACAAAGCACATGTCCCGGACGCATGAGTAAGCTGGAGTGGGGATGAACAGGGAGGAGCCTGAATATCAGAACAAACTACTAGCCTTCGAAGCCTCTCACTTCCTTCAGCCATTATTATTAGAGTTGGCATCTGTCGCTCTCTGTGAGTCCCTATTTAATCTCATCCACAATTCTGTCTTGTGGAACGCTCTTTGGTCTGCAATAATGGCGTTCTCCTGTCTTTCCCTTCCTATATCTTCTATGCGTCCTTCTTGTTCGTTAAGGATTTTAGTGCCTGCTATCCATGAAACACCAGGCTGGATCCTGTGATAATGAAGGAACACAAAGATGAACGTAACCCAGTCTCTACCACCGGACTCCTAAAAAGACAAGAAATGGTCTGCACGCCCACACATCTATACACAAGTCCCTGTGCTCTGAAAAAGAAAATGCTAAATTATGCAAAGTATTAATTGTTTACTTCCAAATTCTGAGATGATAGAGGAGGGCTGGAGAGATTTCTACCCACTCAACCCTAAATAACAAAAGGACTTGGGAAGCCAAAGACTTCTCACAGAGAAAAACCACTAAGCATGCCAAGGTACAAATGTTTCTATGGGTACAACAGTTTCAGAGGAAAGAAGGGATCACATCAAGAAAGAGTAGTACACAGACATGTCACAACATGGAAGAATGAAAGTGAGAACTGAGCCCATGGAGAGAACTCACTAGGCCAGTCCCAGGAGGGTGACTGTGTTTATGGATTGAGTCTCAAAGTGGGGCACTGCCATCATCAGAGGTGACACAATGGTCACACAGCCTGTGTATGTGAAGTCAGTGTTCTACACCCACCTTGAGTCCACTGTATTACTGTATTCTGTCTGCTGAACTCTGTCTACTTCTTGCTCTCTGAATCAACCCATAGACTCAGGGGACAATAACATCAAGAACAGACAAAAAAAGAAGAAAAGGTGGGTTTGAGATAGTTACCTATCTATAGCTAACAGCCACTGCTAGAATTCCAGGCTACACAGCACAGCAAACAGCCAACAGAAATATGCAATAAAATATAGACCATTTGAAACCAGATGAATTTCCTGGAGAAACTATGAAGACTGTCTTGACCCACAAGATTGTTGTATAATGAAAACTTTCTTCTGACTGTGCTCTACTTATGCGATTTTGGTAAGGTCTTGTTAAATAGCTGAAGATAAGGTTGAACTCTTGGTCCTCTACCTCACAAGTGTTGGGATTATAGGCATACACAACTATGCCCAGGTATGTGTTGCTGGGACCAAACCCAGGGCTATACGTGGGCCAGGCTAACACTCTACAAGCTGAGCCACGGTCCCATTCTAACAAAAGCATTTTTGTCAATATTATCTTGTAAACGATTCTTCATTACAGAATCTATTTCACGTAGGTTTTAAAATGGAGTTTCGTTCACTGGTTTTGTTCCCAAGATGAATTTGATTTTAAGTTATTAGCGGGGTGATGCTGAGGGTCAGACAGCTGCTGTGGGAAATGAAAAGCAGGTTCATATTAAAATGATATTAAAAAAAAAACTTCGGGAAATGCTTGTGTCTTTTAGTCCTTAAAAAAGATTTCGGCCATCATTTTTCTACATCTGTGAATATTTTTGTAAAGAGGAAGGAGATTGGTTTGTTCTAAACCCAATCCAAGCCTCATTCCTATCATTCTTGGTAAGGACTACTTCGTGATGAATATGTATCAAGTCATAGTTCTGTATTATACACTTCCTTCTTCTAGAAGGTCACGAGCCCTAAGCAGACACTGAGTCTACCAGCAACTGACCTTGGACAAACCAGCCTTCAGAAGTATAAAGAATACATATGAGTGATTTATTGATACTTAGTTTGGGTATTTTGTCATAGAAGCCAAGTTAGACTAAGACAATCCTGTCTGTAATTATGCCCTAACTTTACAAGTGGAGAAACATATGGACCGAAAGGATAAGACATGTATGAAGTAAATTATAAGTGCACAGTTGTTCCGGGCAGTCTGATCTCAAAGTCCACGTTCCTCATCATCACCATGGATCTCCAACTCCACAGTGGTTTCCCAATGATAACCCACTATAATGTTCACTCATGCTTTCATTTGTCTATCTGGTATAGAAGTATTCCTGTCCATCTACATATCTCAGAATTCTACCTGCCATAGAAGGTGCTCAAGAAAATCATGCCCAATTAATCAATGAAAAGTTCTTTTTAAGTGTAGTCTTTACACATGGGGAGAGAGAGAGAGAGAGAGAGAGAGAGAGAGAGAGAGAGAGAGAGAGAGAGAGAGAGAAAGAAAGAAAGAAAGAAAGAAAGAGGCATCAGACCTGGAAAGTCCAATCATCACCTGCACATTAATCCAGACTCTTCAAATTTCACCTGCTAGAACCCAATATACACTAACTCAAGAAAGACAGAGACAGACTAAGAGAAATTTGGTAACAGATCTAGTTACACTGGCTTTGGCACCAATGTTGCACATTTTCCACAACAGGATCAGTTCTTTTCAGTGCTAGCTTCAACTTTGGCAAGCTTTTATTTTGTGACAAAGATGGCCACCAACAGGTGAGGTTGGCATGGCTTTGTGATTCGTTTGTTTCTTGTTTGATGGGGCTTAGGGACCCAGCATGAATTTGTGATCCCAGGAGGGAGTCATTCTGGCAGAAGGCTCAGATATGACAGGCATCTGACTATGATCGGTCCTGAGTCTATCCCTTAACCAGTAATTGACCAAAGGGATGCATCTTGGTTGTGACTGCATCACACCCACTCCTGAAGCTGATATGACTCCCACTTAAAACTTCTGGTCCCAGGTTTGGAACAAGATCATTTCTCAATAGAAAATAAAGGTGTCAAGTCTACACAATGAATTATTGGTTATTGGCAATCAGTTGTCTTCACATAGAGTTAAAACTTCCTTCTATATGATGCACAATATGTATATCACTAGAGTTTCTTTTCTCTGAAATAATCTGACTCCCCATAGCCTTTGACCAGAATTGACTGGGTACTTCATACCCTGTGAGCTGGCATCTGTGATGACCCAGCCCTACAGTCTGTCATACTCTTGACCTCCACTGATACTTTAAATGAAATAATGTTACTCTCAACAAACTTCCTTCTTCTTCTCCCCAAAAGCTCTGGGTTTTTTGTTTGTTTGTTTGTTTGTTTTGTTTTGTTTTGTTTTGTTTGTCTTTTTCCTCAGTTACTTAGAAGATTCAGCAATTCTCTTTAATACTCCAAAGTTCCTAAAATGCCCTGCAGGGAGCATAGTGAACCTAGAAGGGCAGCAAACACCCCATCCACTGTCGGTCAAGGCTACCTAAGAGATAAAGTCAGCAGCCCTCAAGTCCCCAAAGCAATTCAGCTCTATTTACCAGGAATTTGCATGGATATATATTATGTTGTAGCCTTGTGGAGACTGAGGGTTTTGCCAACATCCCTTCTGGAAGTCTGCTTTTAAACTCATAGCAGCAGCAAGGAATAGAGGGTACATTCAGGGATTCTGAATCCCTACCCCACAAAAAAAAGTTTCTTTCTTCCTCACATGAATTATATGACCATCCACATCCATCAGAGACAGATAATCCAAGCAATGTGCCCACTGTCATGCCTTAGTGAAGGAGGTTCTAACTGCTGCCTATAGGCCTGTGTGCTCAGTCGCTGTCTCAGCCCACATGCCTCCCAGGGCCTCTGCTTTCCTGTGTTTCCCAGGACATATTACAAATATCTGTAGGAAAACCACTCAAGCTCACTTCTTTTTTTTTTACCATAGTAAACTTCTAGATCCTCTGCTTGACTGGGAAACATGTCTTTCACCTTCAGGACTGGCTTGTTAGTGCCCAAAATACTCAGTGTGGCCAGACCACAGTACTCTGTAAACAATGAAAGGCAGCAATCTACCATCTGCCTTTTCTGTGCAAAGAACAAAGACTGGCTCCAAAGGCCCCGTGCCAAGCAGAATCTAAAAGAGAGTGATGCATCATTCTATTGTTACGGCTGTAAAAATACACACATTCTCAATT